CGACGCGAAGGAGGCTTCTGAATTTTGGGAAAGTCGGGGGGAGAGGAAGGTCGACTGAGCGTCGGGTGTGCTCTGTCTGGATTGGTGTATGCCGCGCGCGCGCACCCACGAGGCCGCGACATGACGCGCCATGGAGGAGTGCGCAGCTGCGCGCAAACGACGTTGGTGAGGCATTTGTGACGATGTCCAATCAAGCTGGTGCATGGCCTGGGACACAGTGCACCGGCACGGGTTGCCAGACACACTGACATTAGAGGCCAGCACGAAACAAGTGCGACTAGGCGTGGTGAGTGACGGGTCAACCGTCAAACCCAAACTACACAATCTGTGATGGGACTTAGCTAACACATTACGGTCAACCAACCTCTGAACCGATTCGTGCAGCCACTGGCCGCCATAGGCACCAAACAGGAAGCATGGAACATCACTGTCGTGACACAACTGAAACCAACTGCTGAGCTGCTGGACATGTGCACTAAGTCGCTCGGACTTCACGTGTCGGCCCTTCTGAAGCCAGTCCGTCCAGAGCAATAAGATTTCTCCCTGTTTGATTCGATGGCCCAACGTGGCAGTGGTGGCTCCGTTTACGCTGCTGTGGTAGTGGTGCTCTACAACATAACCAGCTGCCTGAAGTATAGGGGCCACGGCAGGCACCTCTTCAATAACGATTGCTACCGACGAGGCCGCTGGCGCGTTGTCCACATTCGCACAGCCACAGGAGGATGTGGCAGGAGGCGCAACATCTGCGGATTGCAACAGGTGGGGCTCCGCCTTTCGGTTGGACGCCTGTCGCAGACTTTGAACAGGAAACCCTAGACTCCGAAGATATTGCCACGCTTCCGCGGTTACGGTTTCATGGCCACGGCTCATGAAGGCGGTGATGATCCACCTGGACCCTGTCCACGGCATTGTGGCATGCCACATTTTTGGCGCAAACACTACCCTGCAGCCTTTGACTGGAACAAGTCGGCCCGGTATTCGGTGGCCATAAGTGTCTGTCTGGTATACCACATCGGAACGTTGCATGCTGGCTGCTTCCGAAAGCTGCAGCCACAGCTCGCCATTGCAAAATGTGCCGACTCCAATGGTCTGGTTGACAGTGCCCAATTGGTTGTTAACATCTCTGTGCATAGTCGTACGAACATTGTCATTGATGCACAGGGAACCCCAAGGAGGCTCAAACTCATGGGCTGCCAGCCAGGCGTTGATGTAGAGCAACAGCTGAGGGTGTTGCTCAGTGCGTGCGGTTACGCCGTAATGGTTTCCATGCGCGAACAAACCAAAGCTATGGCTTCCAGTTGATTGCCGTTTGACTGAGCTGCATGCGGCACGTGGTTGAAGGTTCGTTCGGAAGGGGGTGCTCTCAAGCAATCTGAAACAATCTTCACCCGTGAACCTTTCGGTTTGGCGCATGTCTTTGGCTAAGGCTTCGGCATCTTCGGGAGACAGTAAGGCCGTGGCGGAAGAGCTCAACTCAGCACTGGAGACGCTTCGGACTCAGGACGCGGGCGCCGTCGGCGTACCGACACTGTAGCTGAGCTAGGCTCCTCTGAGGCAGTCGGGTTGCCTTCGGACGGAGTTTGCATGTGGAGCCCATGGCCAAACTCTGCTCCCTGCGATGTTTGAGAGGCTCTGGGCCTCTTTGCACTATCACCCTCCCCAGCGACGGAGAAGACGGACTTAGCAGTACCCAATGCCGTCGGCATTTGATCCTTGAAGAGATCACAGCGCAACAGTAGATGTCCTGAGGGGGCGGTCAACAAGGGATATTCAACAGTGCCTGGGGAACCTTCGATGTTTACTCCACCTGGGCCTGGCAATATGAGTCGGAGCTCGGCGTCGTTACTTGACAAGACGAGTATGGCGTCTTTGGCACGCAAGCTTTTAAGACCCAGGAGTGCAGGAAGTGAAGAGCCTGAGCCTCCGACAACTGGAGCTTCAAACTCATGTACCGTCGTGCTCTCACGGCCGTCAGCAATGCTTTGCAGTGCGATGGGCAGCTTAACGGCCCAGGTGCATTGTTGGGACCCACTTCCAACCCCTTGTATGTGCATCGGCTGCGCAAGTCGGCTCTGAACGGGTGACAAGCCTTGGTCAATGCATACTTGCGCCATGCTACGGATCCAGTTCAGCCCTGCAAGGTTGGTGTACGCACCGGGGTCTATTAGTAGCGAATTGAAATTGGGGTTGGCAGTGGTGGTGTGATATACAGCATCTTGCTCAAGACTACTTTCGGCGGATAGGGAAGGCCACCATGGGAAGTGATGGTATGGTGACTCCTGTCCTGGCTCAAGGTCTGCAGTGGTCCTATCATTACGCGGCGGAGTGTAAATGTCGTATGTGCTTGGCCCGCTTCGCACTGGCGGGGTCTGTGCCCCTGTAGACCCTTGTGCCTCCGAGGCCGGCTCGGATGGTGTGTTGGGAACATGATCACCCCTCGCTGCCTCGGTCACATACGAAAATCTCGACACAACTCTGGCACTGCCGCGGCACACAGGGCAGGCCATCACCGCTTGGTCATGGACTAGGTACCTGCCCCAGCATTCAGCGTGGAACAAGTGCCTACACATCAGACGCAGCACCAGATCAGCTTCCAAGAAGACATCTTGGCACAAAGCACATTGCTCGTCTACTTGTTCGTATGGTTGTGGGTCGTGCGCTGAGGGAATGACCAATGAGTGTCCCCCACGCTTGTTGGATGCACGTACCTCCTCTGTTCGCTTGCGATGAGCTGCACTTGCCTGCTGTGTTTCATGGAACGACTGCAGCAACACGTGGTGTTCGCGACTGAGCCCTGACTGTGTGGAGACAGTCGCTGCATGGAAGCTGGTTGCTTGCCCGAGCCATCGAGAGTTGGCATAGGATGTGGCCTGCATCAAACGTTCAAGCGTCACCTGGTTACCGGGATCCAAACTGGATGTTGCAGCAACTGGTAGCAGCGGGGCATGTGCAGGGTCTCTATGTA